TTATTGATTCAATACGGCATTTATTATTAAGAGGACAGTTTTGATGATTTCTGCAGTTATATAATTTTGCTTTATCTTCATTTATTTTTATTTTAGGATCTACAGTTTTTGATTTTGACATGAGTGTTTATTTAAGATATTAAGCATTTAAGTTACAGTTGTACTGAAAAGTTAGAAATTATTATTGAGTATTTTTTCTATCACTACGGCGTTGAGCCCACTTTCCGCTGAATTTCATGCACGCAACCATTTTCAGGTAGTGACTGGAAATTGACCGTTGCCTAATTCAAATATCACTGTTAAATCTGTGAAGCAGTCCGTTTAGAAAATAATAAAGAATTAAATAAAATAAAATAATTAAAAAAACAAACAAAAATAAATTATAAAATAAAAAATAAAATATAAATGTAAAATAAAAATAAAATTTAACTTTTTTCTGGGCCTGACGGAATTGTAACTGAAATGCTGACAGCTTTAGATGACTTTGGAATCGACAATATCAGAAGATCTATCTTCATAGCTATTCCTAAAAAAAAAAAAACAGGCGCAAACGAATGCGATCTCCACCGAACAATCAGCCTAATGAACTACGTGACAAAACTCATCATCCGTATTCTGATGTCTAGAGCGCGCGGCAGAATCAGGCCAGAGATAGGACAAGAACAGTGCGGGTTCGTTAAAGACACTGGAACAAGGAATGCAATATTCATGCTCAGAATGTTATCAGAAAGAGCAATACAAATGCAGAAGGACTTGTACATATGTTTTACAGACTATGCAAAGGCCTTCGACTAATTAGGCCACAAGGATCTGTTGGAACACCTTAGCAATCTTGATATATTCGGGAAAGATATCAGAATAGTCAAGAACCTACACTGGCAGTAAAAAAAAAAAACATGCATGCGCATAGGGAACGAGTTCAGCGAATATGCAAAAATAGAAAGGGGCGTAAAGCAAGGATGCGTCTTCTCACCGGACCTGTTCAATCTAGGGTATGGTCATAGAAAAGGCATGAAACCAGCAATATACTCGAGTGTATAAGATATCTATAAAATCCACCGACCTGTTCAATCTATACAGCGAGGCAATTCTGATAGAATTCGAAACCCTACTAGGATTTAGCATTGGCGGCCGCAACCTTAACAACATAAGATATGCAGATAGTACTGATAGCAGACATGGAAAACAAATAACAAAATCTCCTACAGAAGGTAGCGACGGAAAGAGAGAAGAAAGGACTAAGCATAAACTACAAGTAGACTGAATGTATGGTCATCAGTAAAAGGAAGAGCCCGAAATGTGATTTGAAGGTCAGGAAAACTAAAATCAAACAGACACGGAAGTTTAAATATCTGAGAAAGGTCTTGACAGAGAACGGTAAGAGCGAAACTGAGATCCGTAGGCGTATTGGGATGGTCAAGGGACGCATTCCAAAAGCTAGACAGAGTATTACGAAACAGGAGGATTTCTTTGGTAACAAAGAAAAGAATACTGAGCTGTTACGTGGCGTCTATCCTTCTATACGGCAGCGAATGTTGGACGGTCTCCTCAAAGATGAAGAAGAGACTCTAGGCGACGGAGATGTGGTTCTACAGAAGGATGCTAAGGATATCATGGACCGAGCGTGTGAGCAACGGCGACATCTTAGAGAGGATACAAACAAGGAGCATGCTTATAGTTAACATCAGGTAGAGGCACCTGAAGTTTCTGGGAGACATAATGAAGGAGGAGGGCCTGGGGAATCTGATATTCACGGGTCGAATAGTAGTAGTAGTTTGCGGCCACAGCCGAGATTGAACTCACCAATACTTTGATTGGTGTAGTTCATAATCTTGTCAAATATTCTTGATGCTTCGCTAGGGCTATCAAGGGTGTTTTTTATCGTGACACCATCACTAAATGGATTGCCAACCAAGGCTCAGAGAGATTTCATTCACCCTCCTCTAAGAGCAGGTTTGATTTCAGAGTTTTCCTTCTCTTAGACTAGTTGCCATCCAAGGCTATAGAACCCAATCTGTCCTGCTATTTACCCATAGCTGGAGGGAGAAGAAAGAGGATTCACACCTTTCCCAAGGGTATTAGCACGTAAGTGAATGTAATGGATTCGACTGGAATTCGAACTCGGCTCTCCGATTTCTCAATCCAAGCCGCTATCCATTACTCCACCGTACCTCCGGGTCGAATAGATGGAAAGAGAGACAATGGAAAACAATGCATGATATACTTTGCGGGCATGAGTAAGTGGTTGATAGAACGTGATCTGGAGGATGTGGCACAGGGAAGGAATTTGTTGAAAGCTGCAAGGGATAGGGTGAGCGGGAGAGCTAAGATCGCCTACGTCATGAACGGACATGGCACATAAAAAGAAGAAATAATTACCACCAAGGCTAATCTAAATAAATAATGCGAATGTCAGTGTGTCACTGTGTCACGCTTTTTCAACTTTACTCCTAGAGGTCGTATCCCAACATATCATACCATTTTGGAATCAGGCCTACTCCGTGAGCAAATTAAAAACATTTCACGTTGGATCCGAACCCGTAATCCTGACATTTTGGATTACCAAATTTTTATTACTGCGATTGTTTTCGTATTCCGCCATATTGGTTTCTACTGATAAAAAAAAAAAATTAAAAGGACACAACGTTCAATAGGTCATATTCAAATGAAAAAAAAAATACTGTTCTCAAATTACAGTGTTTCAAAATAAAATTGTCTGTGTTTTCAACTTTACTCCTAGAGGCCGTAGCCTAACATATCATACCATTTTGGAATCAAGTTGACTCCATGTGTAAATTAAAAACATTCCGTACCTGATCCGGACCCGTAAGCCTGAAATTTTGGATTACCAAATTTTTATTACTGCAATTTCTTTCGGCGACGTTTTTACGTGATTCTTTGCAACGAACTTTTTGTACGATAACAATTTTTATAACTGGGAAATAAATTTGGGAATAATCGAAATTAATTTCGAAATCCAGCAAAAGTCACCCTTGAAATAAAAATAATTGTTTGTACAGAAAGTAAGGACCTACGTACATCAAGTTGTCTTTAACTTAAATGGCGACAGAAGAATTAGCGTTGAACTTTCATAAGCTTGGCTTAAATATTACTGCAATACATTTAAGTATTGCAGTAATATTTAACCTTACCTTTTAAGAAGCGATCAATTTTGAGTTCTTCTGTAGTTTATTGTTATCTATAACATCTACTACTCCCTACTGTAATGAAGGCCCAATCAAGAGCCCTCCTCAGGGCGACTTTTAAGTTAGTTGTACAATATTTTATACATATATATGTCGTCGTTGGTGGAACTTGTTGCCGAGAATTGTGGTGCTCATCAATATTTCCTTCTGTGTCAAAGGAGTCCTACGTTGAATCTGAAGAGATTTCCACTGCCATCGCATGGTAGAATAGGAGGGTTCAGAGGACGGGGTACTCGGGTTTTTAAAGGGTTTTTTTTGTCTCTTCTATTTGTCTCCTTGTATTTGCGATCAATGTTGATTCTTCGTGAACATCATTTTTTCAATTGGTTCTTTCTGTAGCTTCCTTCATCCCGATTGAGTGAGTGAGCGAGAGAGATAGAGAGAGAGAGAAAGAGTATGAGAGATACAGAGTGAGTGAGAGAGAGAGTATGAGAGATACAGAGTGAGTGAGAGAGAGAGAGGGAGAGAGAGAGTGTGAGAGATACAGAGTGAGTGAGAGAGGGAGAGAGAGTAGGAGAGATACAGAATGAGTGAGAGAGAGAGAAGGAGAGAGAGTATGAGAGATACAGAGTGAGTGAGAGAGAGAGAGAGGAGAGAGAGTATGAGAGATACAGAGTGAGTGAGAGAGAGAGGGAGAGAGAGAATATTAGAGATACAGAGGGAGAGAGGGAGAGAGGAGAGGGAGAGATACAGAATGAGGAGAGAGAGAGAGAAGGAGAGAGAGTATGAGAGATACAGAGGAGAGGAGAGAGAGAGAGAGAGGGAGAGAGAGGCGAGAGATACAGAGGAGGAGAGAGAGAGGAGAGAGAGAATATTAGAGATTTTTTCCAGAGGAAAATGAGAGAGAGAGGGGAGATACAGAGGAGAGAGAGAGAGAAAGAAGAGAGAGAGTATCTGAGATACAGAGGAGGGAGAGAGGGGGAGAGATGAGAGAGATACAGAGGCGTGGAGAGAGAGGGGAGAGAGTATGAGAGATAATAGTGAGTGAAAGAGAGAGAGGAGAGACAGTATTTTGAGATACAGAGAGAGAAAGAGGGAGAGAGAGGGAGAGATATAGAGTAAGTGAGAGAGAGAGAGTAAAACACTAATATTCCATTAAGGAGTGAGAGAGAGAGAGAGGGAGAGAGAGAGTATCGAGATACAGAGGAGGGAGAGAGAGAGAGAGGGAGAGAGTATGAGAGATACAGAGGAGGAGAGAGAGAGGGGAGAGAGAGAATATGAGGGATACAGAGTGAGTGAGAGATAGAGAGAGATACAGAGTGAGAGAGAGAGAGAAGAAGAGAGAGAGTATGAGAGATACAGAGTAAGTGAGAGAGAGGGAGAGAGTATGAGGGATACAGAGTGCGTGAGAGAGAGGGGGAGAGAGTATGAGAGATACAGTGAGTGAAAGAGAGAGAGAGGGAGAGAGAGTATGAGAGATACAGAGAGGGAAAGAGGGAGAGAGAGTATGAGAGATACAGAGTAAGTGAGAGAGATACAGAGTGAGTGAGAGAGAGAGAGAGAGAGAGACTTCAAATTACCTTTACAGCCACCAACCCTCAGCTGGTAGGATTAAATGTACAGATTCCGAAACTTTCAAGGGATAATCCGGTATTATCCATACTCATCACTGAGAACATGTCCAGGCTATAAGACCTGGCCCATTGCTGTTTTTATTTTTAGCGCTGAACTTGATACATAAACGAACCTTCAAGTTGTTCACCATTCCGTTACGAATAATGGCTGGCACGTGGTTGATGCGGGGTTGAAGTCTTTCACCGATCTGCCAACGTAGTCCACATTCACCTCTGACATCTGAATTTATAAATTACGGAACTAATATGTTGGGTGGGCAAAACATTCTTCCGGATTACATTACTTTAATCCGATGAAGTGCTACCCGAGGAGAAAACGCATTACACAGAATACAGAAAAAGTTTTACACACACACACACACACACACGCGCGCGCGCGCGCACACACACACACACACATACTTACGGGCATATATCGTCAAGCCCCCAAGAATGAAACAGCCTGACGATTGCGCCTAGCATGAAACAGCTTGTCGCCTCTGAGTGTTGACTTCAATGTTCACTTTTATATTTATATTTATATACGCTCTATCTCTGTTATTGAGCACTTTATCCCAGAAATACAGCACACCTTGAAACCATATATCTTTATATATATATATATATATATATACTAAGGTAATGATGGGTTGGGTAATCTGAGTAGATAATTTCAAAGAGGATGTAATCCAGAGAGCTCAATGTAACAACAGAGCAAATATTAATTAAATAATTAAGGAGACAACCTTAACTTTCCATGACTATAATTTATTTCCCCAGAATATATCATTTTCCTGGTTCATCAGGTCACATCTCTACTTACGAAATAATTTGGTTTCTTTTATTTTTAATACAAGTTTTTGAGGGATAGTTTTAGATTGATATAAGGGGACAGAGGGGTTGGGAAGGGAAGGACCATAGAATGATCCGAATTTGAAATGGAAGGTAGGGCAAAGGTTGTGATTAAACAGTCTTTAATAGAGTGACATAGGTTCAAGTGTACTGAGTCAAGAGGCAAGGCTATTGGTCCTCTTAAATAATTGTTCGACAGGAAAAGAAAAGAAGAAATAAGAAGACAAACTGTAAAGAAGGGGAGGGGGAAAGAGGAAGAAGAAAGAAAGAGTTAAACATTGGAGGAAGAAAGAAAGAGTGAGTTATCATATGTAGGTATATCGCGGTGACACTTGAACACACATCAATATTATTTATAGTTAACACATAAACTATGAAAGATTACCAACAATGTAGGAATAAAATAAAATAGATTAATAATATTATTAATCTTGATTAATACAATATGTAGTTAACACAGAACATATTAAAGATTATTAAAACATGGAAACTTAATGTTGTCCCTTTCTTAATTATTTAATTAATATTAGAAAGATTTTAGAGTCTCATGAAAATAAGTGGATACAACGTCTAAAAACACAATATCTTGCCGTGCTAAACCATAAATTTAACAATATAGATAGTACTAATATATAACTCAACAAATCAAAACCTACCCACATTTCTCACCCATACAAGACAGACATGCTTACGGAGGTGTGGAGGCCTCACACTTATACACACACCCACACGAATATACACACTTACACACATCATACTCACTCACTCCCTAAGGAGCCAAATGATAACACACACCTACAGCAATACACACACTTACACATATCATACTCACTCACTCCCTAAGAACTAAATAACACACACACAAACACTAAACAGAGACACATCCCCTCACCAGGTCCAATAAAACTGTCAAACTGACCAGGGGAATTCAGAGAAGCATAGATCCATCCAGCTCTTATCACAAATAACAACTTAAAAGAGACTGTTTGACCAACACAAGGAATGTTAAAAGATTCATGTTAAAAAGATAAAAAAATAAAAAAAAACAAATGAAAACTACAGACAAAAGTTCATTTTTTCCAGCAAGACATTCATTTCTGTAGTTCACTGCTACCAGCAAGCAGAAATATTTCTTCTCCTGATGATGGCCATTTTGGCCGAAACTAGTCGAGGAATCTAAATGAAATAATAATAAAAAAACGAAACAATATTAATCTACAACCCAGTGTGTCTGAAGATTTTAATTTTTAATATTTTTTTTTATTATTCAATATATATATATATATATATATATATATATATATATATATATATATATATTACGAAATGGACAATGTCGGACAATTATTTTTAAGATATTTTCTGTTTAAACGTTATTATTATAGACACAAATATTTAAGTAAATGTATTAACAACATTTACCGGCCTGAGTCTGAGAAATTTCCATAGAAAATATGTATCTTCCGAAAAACTTTAGTTTAAAAACAGTAAAATTGATCTTGCTAACCAAGACGCTGCTCTGCAGTTAAATTGTTATAGCCCGTCAGGCTCTGTGACGGTTCCGTGTGGGATACAGGTTCGATTCCTGTCGGAGGACACATATTTTCTATGAAAATATCTCGGACATTCCGGCCGGAAAATACTGTTAGTACTGATTATTATAAACAGAGCATTTACTTAAATATTTGTATCTATAAAAATAAATAACTTATAAACAGAAAATATCTGGAATATATAAATATAAATATATATATATATATATATATATATCATTGAAAACGATTTTTAAGGTGCTTTTATTTAGTTTTTTTTATACAATTTCTCATGCGATCTAATATTTTTTCTTTTCGGCTAATAAATTATATAAAAAATTTAAAACCTCTAACCTTATAGTTAAAAATAATTCACCTCCTAGAACAAAATTAAATAGAGCAAATATTATTTACGAATTTAAATGCCTATCAAAATTCGTAAATACTTATATAGACCACACTACAACATGTTTGACGCGAAGACTCACTCTACACCTTTCTGACCATAGCTCACAAATATATCTCATTTAAATATTCACTGAGACCTACCGAACACTATTCGTAATATAGTTGTTGACAACACTAATATAATAGCATCATCTACATGCAAAAAAGGCTAAAAATAATGGAAGCATTATTAATAAAAACAAACAAACCAACACTTAATAATATCAACTATGAATATGGACATAATATCTTGACTGTGTTTTGGAAAATGAAAACATTTTATAAAACATACATACAACTATTTCTTATTTAAGAGTTAAAATATTTAATCCTTGAAAATGGCTAAATGTATAGCCGAAAGCGTTCGGATGAAAAGAACATTCGGACAGTTTTTATATAATTTATCATCCGAAAAGAAAAAAAAATAATAGTTCGCATGAGAAATTGTATAAAAACTAAATAAAAGCACCTTCAATGAAATGTGCATGAAAGAAGGGTGGCTGCCTAAATATATAATATATATATATATATATATATATATATATATAATATATATATATATATAATATAATGAAAGAGAGAACCGAATGTGATAAGATTGGTAACTTACTCCAAGAATTAGTACACTGACGTGACTTATTTGCTGTCCGAATGTGGCGCGCCAGGTAAAATTTGATAAACGTCCTTTCTCAAACGAACTAATGTATTATGGGAGAAGAAAATGGTTGACATTTCTCTCCTGAAGACAGACGCGTGTGTATGACCGGCATTGAAGCTGTTGAAATGTTATTGAGGAATATAATTGTTGTGCCAACGGTGAGGAATACGAACTATTTTGAAGAAAGGAGAGAGATGGCAAAAGTATAATTTGTAAGCAAAGAAAATCTAGAAATTAATTATTGGTTCCGACCTGGCATTTAGGCTTTAGTCCCTTTCACACTGCTGTAATGTAGCTTACCAGTGGTCTTTCTAGAAATACTTTCATGTAAATTGTTCTGATGGTACCTAGATTTTATGAATTTAAGCGCGGTATTATTTTTGTGATGCAACAAACACTCGTTGCCACTTTTGTGATATCAACGAATCCTCGTTGTCACTTTTATAATACTCGTTGTAGCAGAGACTTTGAAATCGCAAATACAACTATATTAACGCCGTTAAACAATAGACGCCTTCGTCTATCACTTGCACAAAGAGTACTTGTTCCATAACACTCGCTATATTCCGTATAGTGATCTGAATAGAGAAATAGTATAGTGTAGAGAATAGCGGTCCGTATAGTAATAGAGGATAGATTAGAAATGATGATTCGAATAATAAAGAATATACTAGAAATGACGATCATTTAGATGCCAAGCTAATATCTACTTATGCGTTTCCTTTATGGTTACATGGTCTACTTAATTCAATAATGGGATTGCCGACGTTTGTTCGCTGGAGATTTATGTTCAAACTCAAGTGTTGGCAGTGACACTTTCTTCCTGCATAACAATTATATTGGCAACAATGTCTCATCTTCCTACAGTTGAAGTGTCTAGATGTAACCGTAATTTCTTTGCTAACCACTCTTTGGAACCTTCTTGGAACCTTCTTGTGGCTTCTTGCTATCCAGCCATATTTCAGTGTAAAAAATTTAAGTGCCATATCTTGTATTACTGTTTTCTTGGGTCTTTTTTTATTGTTCTAGCTCTTTAATAATGAATTCTTTTACTTATTCTTTCAAACTCAGTAACACTGTTTATCTTAGAGGCTTTATTGCCTTGATTAGGTTTGACATGATTGAAAAAATGTTATGAACCGAGAATATGAAGACAGCCGTGACAGAAGAAAATTGTTCACCGTTCTCTTGATTGTTCTTGAATGGACTTTGAAGATAAAAGCTAAATAATGAATATTGGTACCATTACTGAAGGCCTGAATAATATTTTTCCTTTCACCGTTGCTCAGTTGGTAAGACATAGTGGGGCTGACACAAAACGATTTTAACCTTTTCTCTTTCTAGCTGAATACCTTAAAGAGTTTTTCAGTGATTCTTACGACAAATGGTGTCAAAATGTTTAAACGTCTCATCTGCAAACATGTAAAAAAGAAACTTAGTTAGTTTAGTGGTTATTTTTTTTAGTTATTAAACATTTCGTGGGGTGGATAATTATGCTGTTACACGATTTAGACAATGTTGATGTTAGATCCGTTATATATATATATATATATATATATATATATATATATATATATATATATATATATATATATATATATTATTTATTATAAAACGCAGATTGTGTGTGTCTGTACGTTTATATATTGGATCGGATTTCCTACATTTTTCAACCAATTTCAATAGAACTTCACAGGACTGCGTAAAATTACCTTGTGGTGCTTGTGACAGTGCCAAAAATTAGAAAAACAC